CCGTTGTCTCGTTACCACGGCTTCTTGCAGGAATAGCAGGAGGTTAACAATGTTTTTCTATCTCTTGGAATAATCGTGGAGGTCTTTTTTTCTTTTTTCCCCCGTAGGGAGGCGCTCGACGGTCGATTATTCCTAATAATCGGTTTCGGCCGCAGAACTGCCCCATTCGAATTCACGTAACGTGCTTTAACGTCGAGCCGGACATTCGTTGCCTGGGAATCGTCAATGTTTCCCATACCCAGAGCTGCGCATTCCCGTTTCCCACCGTAACGCGGTGTGAAGCCGCCCTTCCCAAACCGACCTCGTGAGAGAGTCGCCCGAGCGGACTCATTTCATACGCGAAGCCCGACGGAGACGCGCGTTTAACACATTCGCGACCGCTGACGTGAATTCACGTCTTTTCAATTTCTACCCCTGTTTGCCGCTGACGTGAATTCACGTCCATAATCGATACACGATAGAAATTTGCGGCAACCAGTTTAAGAATTTCATTATTTTCCCCGGTACTCGGTATTTGATACGGAAAAAATTTGCCGGTCGTGTTAATTGTGCCCGTAATTATGAAAGTGGTCTAAGTCAAAATTAAAAAAGAAAATGAGTTTATCAGTTATTTCACGCCATATTATTTCAAACGAAATTAATTCAATGTAATTTCGAAACAAAAAATATACGACTAGACCACTTTCATAATTATGGGCACAATTGTCGGACAAAAAAGAATACCCATTCCAGAGGGCTTCAATAAGTCTCGAAGCTTGATATCAGAGAAAAATGATTTCTTAACTCGAAGGATTATTATTATACTCAAAGAACCGTCGGATGATAAATTGAACCCAACGTTACTTCGGAGCGATGACAATTCATTTGAGCTCGTTCGATCGAAATACATTTGTTTGGTTGAATTAATTTTTCTTCTCTTTTTTTTTTCTCTCGGCCTGAAATATCGAACGTAAACGGACACTTTTTATACGAGATACGAGAAAGCATTTTACGTTTCGAAGCGGGTCTTTTTTGTTACGTGTAAATCTTACACCGCCTATCGGGCCACTGGAAGTTTTACTCCAATATTGACAGCGGTTACCCCTTTAGTTCCTATTTGTGCCTGCAGGCGCTTTAAATATTTACTTGCAATGTACCGTTGGCGCCTGTAGACGCTTTGAAAATGTACTGGCCATGTACGTACTGTTCACGCCTACAGGCGCTTTGAACATTTTCCGGGGATATGCTAATGGTGCCTATCGGCACTTGGTAATTACAATCGTCACCGATATAGTTACCGCGTAACGACAAATAGAAAAAGAATTCCTTTTGACGAGAAGTCATTCACAGAGTAGATTGCGGTACAGCTGTGTATTACAATGTATAGAAAGGTTTAAGACCCCCTCCTGTTGACGCTTAAAAGGAAGTCTAGGAAAATTTGACCCTCGATGATTCTTTCCCCGACATAGCGACGTTGCTGACAGACACGTCGACGTCGGCATGACGGACCAATCAATCATTTTGTCGATGAATGTGCGTTTGGCGGTACTAGGAGAACAAGAAGACCAGAGGTCTTCCTAAACACAGGTCGATAGTGTGCCGCGTCTACGCGGCGGAACTCCGTGCGTGGAAACCTAACCTCTTAACTCGCGCGGAACGAATCGTCATCTTTGGTCCACCTCGTGTCGTCTTCCCATTTTCGTGGATCGCTTAACCCTTTTCCTAATATATAATTTAATACATAATCGCGGGACAAGCAATAAACCTTCCAGTAAAATGACATTGTCTCTGTAATATCACATTATGAGGTGGGCAAAAATCAATGTAAATTATTCTACAGGGTATACCACGTGCCGCGAAACTTTTCGATAGATCGAGTTCCTTTCTGTTAATTGTTATAAATTTGCTCGCAAATCTCTGAAACACAATCTATGGATTGATGGACGCATTCCCACGTTTCTTGGCAAGAGATGATCTCGTCGATAATTCGAGCATCGTTGTTTAAGTAAAGGCCACGCGTGTAATCCATATGGGCGATGTCTGGTATTTGTCGCGAAGCTCATGCGTGCTAATGTGCTTCCCAGACGACTGACGATGGAATGTAAATGGCGTCTGGTTAACTGGGTCATCGGCGTGAGAACTCGTAAACGGTCGGAATATGGAAAGAAAAAATATCGATATAGAGGGATATGCAATGAAGAAGAGGATTGAAAATAGAATGAGATAATTAATACGCTGGTTGAAGATGGTGAAACGAGGCCTCGAGGGAGAGGCGTCGAGGAATAGAGGACCACCTCAAGATTAGGCAACTTTCGTCCTCCAACTTCTCCTCTCCTGATCCAATTTAACCGAATGCGCCACTTGTCGGGCGGCCAAACTCGGCCTTAATCTACTTTCGGGGTTCGGCACCTCCTTCGGGCCCATGCTACCCTGGGGGTTTACTTATTAATTTAGATTATGTCCCGCAAGAGCTAATTGCCCCAAAACGGAGGGGCCTGATGGCTCCCGTAGTCCGAAAACAGGGGACCTAGTTTCGGAGCCTTCCTCGACTACCCATGATCAAATCATCATCCCAAGTCATTTCGATTTATAATCACCACCTGCGACCTCAAACAACGAAATTTCCTCGCGACCTCGAGACTCGTCTCGACATATCCCTCCGATAGAAAATAATTTTCCACTTCCGATATCGTTCCTCAAAGATTGCATGTGTCATCTTTTCGATTGCTGCCACCTATGTGTATGTATGCAACACCTAGAAGTACGTGTACAAGGTAGTTGGCTTTTTTATTATATTACATTTTAGATTTGCAGAGGAATTTGACTCGAGGTAGGGGAAGGAGCGTAATAGGAGTCGTGGGGTGGTCCGATAATTCTGGGGAGAGTTTGTGAAAATCAGACGTTCTATGGGAGCAAAAATCCGAGATCGGACATTCGGCCACTTGGGGCCGCCCCACCCGGCTGGCCAGGTTCACGGCCGGCCACACCCAGCTGCCTCCTGCTCTCCTAGTAAAGTGATACAGTTTATTGGACTTCTTCAGATCGGAATGCGACGTCAATGACACTTGTCGCATGGAAGCACCCCACGTGGGGCCGCGACGCGTGCCCGAGACGGTCGCGGCGCCCGTGGCGCGCCGGCACGCGACCGTCGCGGCCGCCGGCCGGCGGGCGACTGACGACCGCGCAGCCACCCCCTCGATTTTTATACCTCTCTGGTAGACCGACTATGTTCGGCTAGCAAGTGCCAGGTGCAGGAAACTGCCCTGGAGACCTTCACGCCGCATCGACAGGTGCAGACCTCCGCCTTGACCGGTTTTGCGTCCGAATCGAGGTCGCCGGGTTTACGATATCAAACAACGGCAATCGAGGTACAAATAGTCTCAAACTAGAAATATCAACGATTTCCAATATTCAAGTTCGATGACCCAGGTCTAAATCTATCATAGTCGTGGTTCCGTGTCGGTGTTCGAACGCTTGTAAAATCGTGGTTATGGGACATGTCCTCGTGTGGAAGGAAATTTGATACGGATGCAGGGAGTGCAGGGCGAAAACGAAAAGCGATTAAAACGTGGCCTAAAACCTCCAGCGGCGAGCGCACCGCTATTTCCTCCTGGCAGCCTGGTAGACCTGTCAGGCAGGCCCATTTTTTCTCGGGGCTCCTAAAATTATTATCTGACCGTAACAATGGTCAAGCCTGACGGACCAGGCACCTGTTCGGGCCTGTTACTTTCCTATTACCGAGTGGCATTTAACTGGCCCGTGGCGACCCACCAAGGACCACTGGGCCCTCGACATTTCGGTAGTTGCTGCCCACTCCTGATCACCTAGTAGAAAAGTAGCCGGGCTATCGATTTTTTCTAATCGAGATCCTCGGATCTCCGAAACCTCGACCTCCAGTCGTACCATGTCGGCCTGATGCTCCTCCTCGATCGATTTACATATCTGGAGCAAGAAGTGCGATTCCCAACCTAGAAACCCAGAAACTCATCCAACCGTTGTCGACATTTCGGGAAATTTACAGCTCCTTAAATTCTTATTTTAACGGGTTAAATTACCGGCCCAATTGTATTTCCGTGGGGCATCATCGAGTATCTAATTACGAGTGAATTTATTAACTAGACTCCGAGGGAAAATCTTTCGGCAAAATATCTTTCGTGAATCTGGAGATGTCAATTCTTGAGGTTCCTCCCTTCTTCTCTAAGCACCGACTTCATGTCTGCCGCTACCTCGAAGGGCGAGAATGGCCCTAAACCGCCTCTCGGCTGGTCATGCTCGCCTGCTCTCAAAACCAACCAAATTTAGTCCCTACAAAGGGCAAGGGCAGCACTCGGGAAGACAGTGTGGCGAGTGGGGAGTCCAGTGCCGTGCTCGTGGTATCGGCCAAGCCGACTGACCACTGGTCACTCGGGGACCATCCGGTCCTCATGGTCGCCTGGTCATTGGTCAAACGAATGCATTCGACAAACAACGAACCGACGAAAGCACCCTTGGAACGTGACAATCCGAATCACCTCTTGGCCAAGCCTCAATCTTGGGCTTCGCATCTATTTGGCTGGTCTTGCGACACTGAGGCCATATTTTTGAAATTTATTTTCAATTATTGAATACCCTCCATCTCTATCCATGATCTGTGCTCATATATAGGACGGCTTCTCCATATCGCCCAAGTTATAAAATTCTACCCTGAATAAAAAATTTCATTGAACCCTTGAATGGCACCGAGGAAATATTTTGTCAATTCAAATAATAATTATTTGACTGAAATGAAATCGAATAGGTTGGATGCGACGTTTCTTGAAAATTGGGACAACCTTTTTGAGACTAATTCTTTGAATTAAATATATATTTCTTTGTATAATGAATTTCATTTTCCTCGGTGTAGAAACGAAAATATAAAATACGAAGGACCTTCTAACCAACCCGACACGATTGTCTTGTATGATTAAGGCGTGTTGGTCTTGCCAAATTTGTACATTTGAAATTTCTCAGCCGATCGTTTAATTCATTTATGCATTTCACAGGCCATCAGCTGACGGTGTTCAACAGTCAGTCGACCATCCATGTCGGAGGTCGGTGGAACCGCAGCAAGGAGAGGGTCGAGAGGCCATTTCTTGGTATCATTTCGGGATTGGTGGTCAACGGTGCACGGATTTTGGAGTTGGCAGCTGCCAAAGATGGCAGGGTCACTACCAGGGGAGATGTCCAACTTTTACCGGCAGGCAGCCTCCTGGACAGGGCCGCTCCGTTGCAAAGAATGCAGCAGGTAAATTCGGCAGTACTTTAAAACACCATATCGTTATGAATATTAATTCTCCGGTTCATTCGATCAGGATCGACGTTAAAGTACTCGACGCCCTTATGCATGAATTTATATTGCTCTTAAAACACAATTATTATCAATACAATGTAGAACGAAGTTTGCGCTTTAATTTAAAATACGCACATGACGCTGACACAATGGAAAAGTGACTTTATTCCAATACAAGGCGTCAGCTTTTAAACGGTAAAAATCGTTATCAATTTTTGGACGATCTGGTAATTAAATGATATACGCAGTAAGAGGAATGAATATTTTTTCAGTAATTTTCTCAACTTCGTTCGACTAAAGCCAGTCTTTTTACTGCAGACTCCCGCCTCCGGATTCCCTGGGGTCATGGACGATCTAATATTTTCCGGGGCCGGAAGCGGATGTGCCGGCGACGACGAAGACGAATGCACGCCCATCTACGAATCTGGTTCCGGTAAGTGTAAGTAAAGTTTCGAAAAGGGGTAAATCGATCCTTCTGCGCGCTCTCGTACGGAAGGATTTATCAGTGGTGCACGATTTCATTATTCTCCCGTATCATGTACATACAAATTTCCAAGACAAAGAGTCACCCCAATTACCTTGACGCGTGTCTAACGAAGGGTAAGTATACCAATCTCGAAACTATTCGGAACTAACGCGTAGAATTCACGAAATTGAGACTGCGACTTTTTCAAAATTCACATTTCGAAAAAAGGACGTGGCAGAAAATTGGAGATCAAGGTGCCCTACAAATAAGTCCCGAGCAACTTTTTGATAAAATATACCGTTTCCGAGTTATTCGGAAAAGTAGACTTTCTCGCAAGTGGTATCGCTAGGTGCAGTCGATATATAAGAGCAGAGCCCAGAACGTACAGCGTGTAGTATGAAAGGAGAGACGTTTAGCACTCCCCTAGACAAGGATGGACACATATAATTGGTAAGGCACTTGTCGTCATTTGACGGCACTTACCACATTTTTTATCAATATTTATAACCGTTTATAATTAATCACCACTATAAGAATTATGGTACTTTACGATGACTTTATGCAAACTTGCGTCACCTAACCTAATGACGATTCCTCGATGAGAAAGGTGCCTGGTACCTTCATAACGAGCAATTTTTGGATTTATTAATTTTTAGGTAGTCTTGTCAATGCATCAGGATGCGATTCCTCTCGCGCGTACGTCAGGACTCTCTCCCGATTCTATCCCGCCTATCCGGGAGGCATGCGCGTGCCACCTTTTCGTTCTCATGTTCGCCCGGTTGAATGTTCGATTCATTTGCATATTTAGAATACCGTCGGAGATAGACACTTCCGTTCCCCAGGCGCGTAGGCTCCCGTCCTTACCTTCTCCACCGGATGAGCTCCCATTAAAAAGTCTCCGTCCGACTAAAAACTGAATAGATAATCGCGTGTGTCACGCGTGAACGAGGACCTTCCGTCCTCTGTCAATCTAATAAAAATCTGCTCCCCGCATCCCAACGATTAAAACCGATCATTTCACATTACCCCATATCGAAGAGTATACGACCACGTGCTTTTGTTAGGGATTGCTAAAATGGAAATAAAATTCCCTAGACGTGAAGAAATAACGGATTAAAAATAAAATCCGTGAAGAATTTTATCGACCGCGTTCTGAATCTTCCGTGGTCCTTTTTCGGGTTCATAAATCCTGTATTCTCGACCCCCTGCAGACATTGACGAACCTATTCATATCCTGGAACGTTTCCCTTGGTAACCTGACATTTCGTTCGCAGATGATCTGATTACGCCAGTGTACGTGGCGCCTACGAGGTCGCCGACGACGCCGAAACCGAAAATCCATAAGGAGAATATCCAGGAGAGGCCCTCCTGCGACGACGAGGAGGACTGCGAGGAAGGCTCCGGGGATCCCGGGACGACCGAGGAAATCTTCGTGACGTCGCCGACAGGCACGTATATCCAGGAATTGGCAGAAAATTTCGGGCCGAACGCATCCAGCGCAGCCGGTATTGATCCTATCCTTGCCACGTGCACCTACTGCATGCACCACTTCAATGACTCCTGCATACCCGAGGCGCGATTGCACTAGATTATTCTAGACGATACGATGACCCGGATCGGACGTGACCGACCCCGTAGTATTTAAAAATAGAACACCGAAAATATGGGGAATCGATTTTAGCATCTAGGGGTGGATACGAAGGGGCATGTATAGCGCTGCCTCGGGGGGGTGTTTCGGACAAAGAAACTTCAGTAGCTCCTGTACGCTCAAGGCACGATCGTATCGAGTTCCTGGGGGCGATACATCTTCTCGGAATGGATCCTGTACTATTTAAAAGAAAACGAAAAAGCCCAGAAAACTAGGGAGATCGTTTCAAATCAATTGCATAATTATTTTCTAGAAAGTCTAGAATCTCCACTTGGTTTACCCAATTCTTTTTTTTTTTTCAAATTTAGCCCTCTAGCTTTAGATACTTGTGCCGTGATTAGGTTACCCCGGGATCCTTTATTTATTTAAATTTGAAATTCCTTCCCGTCGAGTTCAGGATTCGCTCCTCTGAAATCCTGAACGCACCCTGCGTACTTGGCACTCCTGCCTGCGCACGCGTAGACGTCACTCGGAGCTCGCCACGTTTCGTTTCGTTTTGGCACTCGACTCGGAGGATATTCAACCTGATTTCCATGGTTGCATTTCGTATCCGCAGACCTGAGCACGGTGACCCTTACCACTCCGAAGGAGACGCCGACGAGTCACATCAGCACGCAGAGCTCCACTCTCAGTCCGACCTCGTCGAGAGGGTTCTACACGGTCTCGACGCTGCCCAATGTGTCCAGCACCGGCATCGAATCAAGCCACGGCAGGTGAGAAGCAAAATAACCATCCCCCTAACGAAATCTCCCCTAGAACGGGTAAATATCACGATTAAACGAGGCTCAACCCCCCGCGTCAATATTTACCCTCGCTCGCCGGGTCCGTAAACAAATTTCCGCATAATTTCATTAAGACTCGAGGGCGACGTTAACCGCGGTCCCTACTTTACCGACCGCCCTATAAATGCCCGTATTATTTACGTGAAAGGTGTATAGAACGTTTCGAGTGACCCCGAAAATATTGACTCCACAGCAGCACCGTGACGCTCCGAGCGATCAGCGTAACGACGCAATCCACGACGACAACCACCACGGAAATGACCGATCCACCTCCACCCCCATTACCACCGGTGTACCCGCCGATGCCGACGCCCCCGAAGAACAACAACAACAAGAGGATCACCTCCGAGGCGGCGGAGAACGCCGCCCTGATAATCGGCATAATTGCGGGCGCCCTGATAGCGATAGTCCTGATCATCCTGATAATCCTGAAGTTCAAGAACCGCCCAGAAGCAAATTACAAGGTCGACGAGAGCAAGAATTTCTGCCAGGACCCTAACGCCGCGTTGCTGGGGGCGGCGGGGTCGGGTCAACCTTTCAACGGAGCCCTGAAGAACGGGGCGAACGGCAGTAAAAACGGTAAAAAGAGGGAACTCAAGGATATCAAAGAGTGGTACGTATAAAGGGGTGACGGAGTACTGCCGGGGAAGGAGAGGCCGAGCCAGGAAGAGGAAGTGCGACGAAGATGGAGGGCCCTCCGACGAGGACGCACTCGAAGAACGACGCGACCTCGAGGCCACTGCATATTCGGAAATTGCGCCCCTTACGTGTAATTAGCCGTTAAGGAGGGAAACGTGGCTGCTGATTGCACGATTTACCGTCACTGGATGGGATGCCATTTTAATTAATCGCTAATTTGGCCGTGCTTTTCTTGCGAATAATGCGTGTCACGCGGTGCAGAATTTAAGTTTCACGAGCCTCGGTCTGGTTTCAACCTTCGTCCACGTTCTGTAAACGAGGTTTCTAAGGAATATTCTTCTGAGTTAAAAATAGCTGATCACGGTAACACACCGTAGACTTTTCCTCGGAAGCCTAGACGCGAAGTAGTCCGGAGGGGAATTTTGTCAAAATTAGATGTCCAAAAAAAGAGGGCTTCTCTTAGAGATCGATTATCACGAAACGAGAGTGTCGTTGCGTTCAGTAGCCTCGTTAGCGCAATCTCTGCTGAAACTTACTCGTATGCAAAAGAGAAAAAGAGAGAAAGAGAGAGAGAGAGGAAAACGCGGAGAGACGAGGCGAGTCAAGACTGATCGAGTTATGGGCAAAAAGTAATAACGAGCGAAGAATAATAACGCGAAAAAATTACACAAACCACGGAGCGATGGGAGAAGAGAGAAAGAGAAAGAGAGAGAGAGAGGGGGTGTGGGGACGTGTGTGTTTGTGAGCGAGAACATGAATGAACATCGAGGATCATTTTGCTCGTGCTGTAACGATGTATACTTATCAACGCGCAATGTCAAGCTCCTTCGAGGACGATATCAAACAGATATCCTTTCGATTCGACGGAGCGAAAAAGGGCGAGATTTTCATTTCCACTCCGACGCTCTCCTCGCGAGTCTCGAAGGGATTCGATTCTCGAATGGGAGAAGTCGATCTCGCGGAAAATCGGGGGAATTCCTCAAGGCGGGAGAAGCGCTGGAAGAGCGAAAGTATAGGTAATTAAAAAGCGATCCTAAATAGTAATTACTACACTAATTGTTGTATAGAAGATATATATATATAAATATAAATATAAATTATGTTATGCGTGTAAATTGTTTATCGAATTATAGATTTTATTAAAGAAAAAGCGAGGGGAGACGGGAAACCGGCCAGCACGAAATCGAGGGAAACGCGCGAGTTTTCGCCGGAGTAGCAAGGACATTCGAGAGGTAGCCCATTGAGAAAATTAAAATTAAGGGAATTTGGATAATGCATAACTCTCTGGGAGTGGCGGAGGGAAAATTCAAGCACCTCGGAGTAGGCGTAGAAATTGCGAAATTGCTTTTACATGACACACACAGGGTGCAAGTGCAGCGTCGCCGCTAAATTCTTAAAACTTATCGATGAATCGAGAGAGTCGCGGTATTAGGCTTCTAGAGTGAGAACCATTTTTAACGTGTGTGTGTGTTTCGCAATAACGAGGAAAAAGAAAAGGGCGCCAAAGAAACGACTGAGAATAATTAACTCGAGAATCGCGCATGGAATGGCCGCGGATTTTTCTTTCCATTCTCCCGGAAAACCGCGAAGACCGAAAAGCTTCGCGGCAAGTTTTGAAAGCTCTCCCAATCGGCCTCTCGACTTTTCCTGAATTAGAGGGAAGCTTCGAAAGAGCGACGACAAAAGGAAAGAAATAATAATCCAAGGGATAAAGACTCGAGGACTCAAAGGGGAGGCGAAACCCGCGAAATACCGAACTCTCTCTCCCTCTCTCTCTCTGTGGTGGCTGCCACGTGGGCAGGCATATAAATAAATAAGCAAATAAATGTACATATATTTTCGTAAAGCACCGACTCGCCGTTCGTTTCCGAGAGCCGATCTAGCCGGCCCGCAGGTGTGATTTCCGTTCACCTGTCCACGAGCCAGGGAGAGGAAAAAGGGGCGAAAAGTTCCCCAGGGAACATTATCCGAGATCCCCAGAAAATACTAGAACCGCCAGCGCGAGTTTCCTGGGGAAACCAAAGAGAGAGAGAAAAATGGTGTCCGTCTCAAACTACCGAGAACGAGCCCGGACCTCGATTCGTCGGAAAATCTGCCGAGGTTTGATATCGAGGCGAAAAATCGAGAGAATCGAAAATCAAAGGCCAGGTCGTTTCCGAAATCGACTGTGTCCCCTCCAGAAATGGAAATTTTCGGGAAGCCCGAGAGGGTGGAGGGAGGGGAACTTATACTTTTTTTTTTCTTTTAATTTTGTTTCAGTGCGACGCGCTCGAGAGAACGCCGAGAGCGCACGTGAGGACAGTGAAACGCGGCAATTCGCCGCGAATTGCTCGTTGGATGGCGATAAACTGACGAATCTCGGCACTATGGTGCTTTCCCAGTGACGCGAAGTGTTAAGAGACATTCGGTGAACGGTTTGCCGAGAGGGTGGGTGGCATGAAAGTTGTATAGAAATGTTAGAGCTGCGCCGGATCAAGGCCGGACCGTCTTGAGTTCCTGTCTGCGTACGTTTCGTAAGTTTCGCAAGTTTTGCACATTTGGTTGGTTTTAGGTGTACGCTGTTTCATAGGTGTACGTCCCGTAGACGTAAAACGCGCAAAGGCGAGAGCGTGAACCGAGTGGGCGCCTGTAGACGTAGCCGAGTGCGATTGGGCGCGAGTGAATGTACGCGAGGTGCGACTGAGGCTTAGCGATATGTACAGCGAGTACTGCTATTCGATAGTTTCGAGATTTCTTTGAAGTACCTCGCGAGGCGAGGCGTCACTTTGCACACGCGTTACGTGAACGCGAGGGTTTTTGTATATTGCCGAACATTTTTTAAGAGTTTTCCGTTCGCGCGCGCGTTCGCCGCGACGCAGGCCTTAAGGGGTTGACCACGGCTTCCTCTTTCAAGTTTCTACAGCTTGTAACCCTTTCGCACCCCCTGGCTTCGCTCCGAACCCCGGAGGCCGAGGGATTCGTGTTCAAAGTATCCCCTCCCATAGCACAACCCGTGCCGTTTGCAATGGAGTCTCGAACACCCCACTTCGATGTAAATATACCGAAGGTAGCGATTCGTTTCCGGGTACTCGATGGCTCCCCAAAAGTCTCCCAGGGTGGAGCTCGCCCTCTTGATCTTTCCATCGCTGAAAGTCGAGGATCTCTCTTCTCAGAATTCTTCCCGTGTTTCCTGCAAGTCGAGGGTGGTGTACCGGTGTTCGTTTCTCCTTTGGAATCATTTCGCGGGGCTGGAGAGATTTCTTTTTCTCCGCGGTCGGGAACCGCGTGCGTTCATTTCGTCGAGCATATCATCGGCCCCAGGGGCCGAGTCTCGGAGGTAGAGTCCATTGGAAGGAGAGGGCGAAATCACGGATATCCTCCTCGTATATCCTCTAGAGTCCGCATTAGTGCACCTGCAAACGTCAGACCGATTATCCCAATTGTCGGGCACTCGAATCGAAACATAAATAATTACGTATTTCTAACCCGAAGACTCTCGGGATGGCGTTCTCGCAGCTGTCGACTAGCCGAGGCCGAGCCCGGCTTCGCGCGTCTTCCTAGAGCTCGCGTCGACTCGCTCTCGACACTCGTGACCGGAAAATATTTATTCCTTATTGTCAATCGATTTTACGTTTTAACGTAATGTACCCTTTCCGCGTCTTCGGCAAGTCGAGAGCGCTCGAAGGACGAGCCGAGCGCGAGGCCCGGTTTGCGCCTACAAAAGGACGGTTCTCACTGTAGATCTATGAACTAACGAATGAAAAGAATCTCTGCTTGGATGAAGCTCGACACGTAAGAGGAAGCACATCTTAACGGCCATCTTTCGTTGTTAGCGCGTCCTTCCCTGTTACAAACGAATATAAAAACCAATTTAAAGTACACGACAATTGTTACCGTTATTGCAATTTTAATGTCCTTATTAATGATGTCAAAATAACGATGCCTAACGCAATTTCATCGGCATCATACCTTTTGGTACACGCTGTATCGTACTTGGAAAAAAGCGCCGAACATACCTCTATCACGAATACGAGATTGCGCGCATATGTGCAGCAACGTAAGATGGCCGCTGCATCTTCTGTCCTTAGCCAAGCCGCATGCGAAATATGCATACAGGAAACACGCCGCAAATGCGTCAAGAACGCATGTATATTTGTGTACATCCACGCACGTGGAACAAGCATTTGATTTATGATGAAATTTGCTACCCTACACGTGCCCGCTGTACATTAACAAAATTAAACGTGTGTACCAATTACCCTGTACAGCGAGCAAGCAGCATTTACTTCGCCACATAAAGCATTTAATGAAACAATTGCTCTATGTGCGTAGGTATGCATAATTACATGGGTTTATTACATGCTTCTTGAAGAATTTACTGTGTGCTTATTGTGTACGTATTCGATGTGCCACTTGACTTGCGTCTCGAATTTTAGTCCCCTCGTTAAAAGTCTCTATCTCACTTCACGCCACATTCGTTTCTTCATAGATCCATGGTTCTCACCAACGACTGATTACTTCGTAAAGCTCGCTCGAAGGCAACTTTCCCGACCGCTTCGATCGCTCGATCGAGCCACGGCAGGAAAACTGAAAAGCAAAGGGAAAAACGATCTGTAGCGTGTAAATCAGTGTGGACTTTGTATTACGTGGCTAATTTCAAGGATGACCGCGGCGATACTCCCCGGACGTTTCTCTGATGACCAGGAAAGAGTTTTCCGGGAGTATCGTTGTCCCTCGTCCACCTGGCTGTCGACCTGACGTCGATTTTGCAACCTATCGGCGTCGTTAATCGTGCATTTGGCGCCACCTAGAAGCGAGGATATATTAAAAACGAGAAATAAGTGCGTCTAGGAACCAAAGTTCCGAAAATCGGGATAACGAGCGATCGAGGAGCTTGGCTCTAGAGATTTTGTTCGGTAAAGAGGAGCCTCTTGGCGTCCGGTTTTTGGGGTTAGGTAATTAATCGATATATCGAGGATCGAACGATACAAAATGGCGCCGATAAGTAGCAACATCGAGGCTCGCGTCTCGCCGGGGCCCACCTCTATCTGCATATCCTTCGATGTACTGACAACTAATGTTTATACTAAAAACCTAATATCTTCTATGCGATATCTACGAGCGAAATGTTACTCTATACTTAACTATACATTAACCTGGAGTTAAAAGTACCGAGGGGGCGGACACGTTGCGTCCGGCCCGCGGGTGTCGCGACGAGGACCTCGTCGGGGCAGAGGGGGCGTGAAAGAAAAAAAAAAAGAAAGAAAATAACTCGGCCGTATCTAGAGTCGCTAGCTAGATGGGATACACATTATATATTTTACATTGTACAGTCATTAACTATGAGTGCACTATACCATAGATGGAGATTATATTCGTATCGAAGTGCAGGTATTGTAATAAGCGCTCGCGCGTCCCCTGGGGCGCTCGAAGATGATTCCTTCACCGACATTACCGACGGTGCAACTCCCGGTATCTTTCAAAGCGCTGAATAGTTTCGAACTCGACCGCTAGAGTGCGCAGACCAGAAGGCTCGACGCGGGCGCGAAAGTCTGGAATATTAGCTGGGAATGCGAGAAACGGGACACGGATCGATTGAGGATTTTCTGAGTTTACGAGAGAGCCTTCTGGCCTAAGGCGGGGCGATCGCTTTCGAAAAAAGCGAGAATCTACAGCGGTAAAGAGCTATCCTTTAATGGCCGGCGCTGCTTCTGGGAGCTGCGCGAGGGAGGTACGCGTAAGATCTGCGCGCGGCGACTGCGCAAGGCGACTGCGCAAGGCGCGCGGCACCGCGAGGCCGCGCGGCGCCGCTGGGAACGAAAGGGCGTCACTCCGTCGTCGACTCGCGAGGCGGAGCATCGCGGGTGCGCTCGCGTCGTGATGCGTATCGCGCGGTTCGATTTCTTCAGGTCCGCGGAGTGTAGCGAGACGGCGCGATGGTGCACTTAGATTTTGTACACTGACCGAGCGGCGATAGAGGGCTGTCACAGCCCGTCTGAAAATGGAAAAAGGAAGAGAAAGGGAAACAGAACGAGAACGGTTTCTCTCCTTTCGCTCTCGCGTGCGTCCGGACGAGATCGCGAGGCCCCGCCGTTTCTCGCGCACGGCCATACACAGCCAAACACGTACACACACCGTTTCACTCGCACGCGCGCACGCATTCGCACGCGTAAAGTAGCGCGACAAAGAAGTCAAGTTACCGATCTCTGACCCGGTCTCGGGCACGTGTAAATACCTACAAATAATGCCGTAACTAAAGATTGTATGAATAAAGTATTGACAAAACTGTGACTCGATGAAGTTCTCATTTGGGGTGGGCTGAATGAACGGTTAATCAAGAAACTCGTAGCGGTGAGTGATGAGAGAAACGCGCCCTGTGCGTTGAGTTCGAGCGAGACGCTGCAGAGTTCTATACAGTAAGGATCGAGATTTCAGCAGTGGGGGAAATAGAAATATAATTTCTTCATTGCTACGGATAAAGAAATAAATGTTCAACCAACTCAAAAAATCAGGAATTTTGTTAAATTTACCCGACTCTGATTCCTGATATCTTCGTTAACATATGGTACGGCAAAGTTTCCGGCGCTCTCAGAATGGTGTTCCTCATATCCTCATCGTCGTCTCCCCAGTCACGGACTACCATTTTTGCACTCACATGATAGGTCAACCTTCGTACGACTTTCCGTACCACATTCGATGGCGCCCCTCGCGGAATGAAAATGAACTGTGGCGCCAGACCTGCAATGATCGACGATCACATAGAGTACACCAGAGATGAGTTGGGAGATTACTCACGGGCAAGATCGTGCGATCGCATCCTGTGCTGCCCTCTGGTTTCGTACGTTAGCTTTCACCGTTTTTTGCCCCCAAGGGCGGCGCAACGAATTTCTGATAGGAGCTCGCGCACTCGCGATGGCGGTACCATCTACCAGTCGCCGTTGGCGGCTCACGTACTCGTGATGGTAATACAATGCGGCAGTTGACGGTGGGGGCTTACCTACGCTTACCAACACTGCTCGCTTTTGATGGTAAGGGAAGAACACTCGTGACGCTCCATTTGACTTTGTCTACTTATCTACTACTGTTAAGTACATTGCTGCCTCGAAGTCGACGTGATGCGGAGCTTTGGGGCACGCGTCGGTGTCGCGTACGGAACTCAGCAGTGAATCTGCGTGAGTACGATCGCCCCTAGAAATCTTCGCGCGTCCCAACCAGCCAAGCGCCAAGCTACGGGTCGAGATGTTGAGTAATGTGCGTTCGGCGCTACACTCGACAAGTATACGTGAGAGTCCAATACTGCGGAAAATCCTCCCGAAGTTTACCTAACTGCGGATATAAGCCGAGTCATTTCGCGTATGATTTTCACATTTCCCTACTAGCGTTATCGAGCGTTTTTCGACAGTTCTCGAACGTTTTCGAGCGTTTCTCGATCATTTTCAGAGCGTTTTCGAGCGTTTTCAGAGCGTTTCCGAGCGTTTTCACGCATTATCAGAGCGTTTTCGAGTGTTATCGAGTGATATTCTAATGTTTTCGATCGTTATCGAGAGTTTTTCGAGCGTTTTCACGCGTTTTTGAGCGTTATCGAGTGTTTTTCGACCGTTTTCGAGTGTTTCTAGAGTGTTTTCAAGCGTTTTTAGAGTTTTTTGGTGCAGTTTCGAGCGTTATCGAGCGTTTTTCGAGCGTTTTCACGCGTTTTTCGAGCGTTTCGAGTGGTCTCGAGCGTTTTCAAGCGTTATCGAGCGTTTTTGAGCGTTATCGCGCGTTTTCGAGTGGTCTCGAGCGTTTTCAAGCGTTATCGAGCGTTTTTCGACCGTTTTCGAGTGGTTTTAGAGCATTTTCGAGCGTTTTTAGAGTTTTTTGGTGCGGTTTCGAGCGTTATCGAGCATTTTTCGACCGATTTCACAAGCTTTTCGAGCGTTTTCGAGTGTTATCGAGTGATTCTAGTGTTTTCGATCGTTTCTCGAGCGTTTTCACGCGTTTTTTGTGCGTTCTCAAGCGTTATCGAGCGTTTTCCGATCATTTGTAGAGCGGTTTCGAGCGTTTCTAGACCGTTTATGAGCGTTACCGAGCGCTTTTCAACCGTTTTCGAGTGTTTTTCGAGTGTTATCGGGCGTTATCAAGCATTTTCGAGCGTTATCGAGCATTTGTCAAGCGTTTTCGAACGTTTTCGCGCGTTTTTCAAATGTTTCCGAGCCTTATGTCAGGCCGTACAATCCCGTAGAGCCCCGTAGAGTCCCGCAGAGTCCCGTAGAGTGCCCGTAGAGTCCCGTAGAGTCCCGTAGTGTGCCCGTAGAGTCCCGTAGAGTCCCGTAGAGTCCCGTAGTGTGCCCGTAGAGTCCCGTGGAGGCCCGTAGAGTCCCGTAGTGTGCCCGTAGAGTCCCGTAGTGTGCCCCTAGAGTCCCG